AAAAAAAAAGGAGGGATTGTGGCAACGAGGAAAGAGTATGAAGTAGCAATACTGCTCCCTCAGCTGCCACAACCTGTGGGGAAGCAGTGGTAGGGGAGACGCAAAGTTGTAAGGAAGGGAGGAAGCAGAGAGAGATGCAGGCAGGAAAAAAAAATGGGTGGTGTGGGTCTGAAACAGATATGTAGCTTCTGCTTGCATCTGTCTTTGGAAGCAGCCGGGGCAGAGAGTAATGGGCTGCAGTGGTAGCAGTAAGTGAGAAGGAGGAAGTCATTCTCTAGGACAGGAAGATGAAGAAATCCTAAACTGGCAAGTTTGGGTTAGCTCATTACAGTGGTACCTCAAGTTACATATGCTTCAGGTTACATACGCTTCAGGTTACAGACTCCTCTAACCCAGAAATAGTACCTCGGGTTAAGAACTTTGCTTCAGGATGAGAACAGAAATCATGCAGCAGTGGCGCAGCGGCAGCAAGAGGCCCCATTAGCTAAAGTGGTGCTTCAGGTTAAGAACAGTTTCAGCTTAAGAACAGACCTCTGGAATGAATTAAATACGTAACCAGAGGTACCACTGTATCTAGTTAAATATAAAGATAATAAAAACTGACTGTATCTTTGTCTGTTTTCATTACAGCAAAATTTTGGTATTTTCTATCTCATTTTTTAAGTTTGTATTTTTAAAGCAAAGTTTAGTTAGTCGTTAAAAAAAATAGTTAAGTTTTAGTTTCTTTAGTTTATTGGATGAATAAAAACAATCCCCTTTATGATTGAATATGAGTATATATTCAATTAATGTTTGCCTTAAAAAAGAATTTCACATGGTGCACACCCTAACAAAATGTGCTGTGCACGCCTATATTCAAAGATACACACCTGTATTCAGAGATATACTGCCTCTAACAGTGAATGAAGATGATAGTCATCATGACTCGCAGCCATTGATAGCTGTGTCCTCTAAGAATCTGCCCAATCCTTTTTTAAGAACAAAAATCGACCCAAGAGGGAGGCAAGCCAGTGTTGTGTAGTGGTTAGGAGCAGTAGACTTGTAGTCTGGTGAACTGAGTTCGCTTCCCCGCTCCTCCCCATGCAGCTGCTGGGTGACCTTGGGCCAGTCACACTTCTCTGAAGCCTCTCAGCCTCACTCACCTCACAGAGTGTTTGTTGTGGGGGAGGAAGGGAAAGGAGAATGTTAGGCTCATATACCACCAACAACCATGGCTTTGATGTTGTTTGGATCATGTGAAGGTGCTCAAAATTAAAATATCAGCTCCCAATTGCCCTGGCACTGATCAAAATACTGAAAAATTAGGGACACTGAAATACTGGAAAAGCAAACCTTCCCAGGTACGGATGGGTGAGGAATCTGCTGAGCTCAACTTCCAAAGTGGGTCACATCTAACCTAGTTCTACTCAGAGGATACTCACCTACATCAAAAGGTCTAAATTAGATTTGCCCATTAACGTCAATGGGTCTACTCTGAGTAGGACTAACATTGGCCAAAACCTATAAATGGGGTGCCATCTTGCTGGTTGACACCTCATCTTTGATGGTGGAGCACCCCGGTTGTGGTCTAGGAATCAGCCTGTAAGTCATTAAGATAATTAACATATCTTAAAACAGTGGCTTGGAACCATGGGGATGTTTCTTGTTAACTTGGTACAGGGTAACCAGGGTCTTTAATCAGCCCAGAAGCATGCAAAGCAACCTTGAAGAGACAAGCATCTCTATCCGTTGTCCAAAATTCTCTGATGTAGAGTTGAAAAAGCTGTTTACTGCAAGAGTTGGTCTCTCTCTCTCTCTCCATGAAATGATTGAATGTTATGCTTAGGTCAGGACATGAGTACAATTGCCCACTTATGATTTCCAGCAACCAGTATTCAGAGCCATGCTGCCTCTGACAGTATAGGGAGAATATAGCCAGGAATAATGCTATGGCCACTGATAGTCTCATAATTATATAACATGTTTACTAGAATGGGCCTTTTTGTGGTGGCCCCCCACTTATGAAATGCTCTCTGCAGGGAGGCTTACCTGGTACCATTGTTACATATCTTTAGGCACCAGGCAAAAACATCACTCTTCTCCCAGGCCTTTGGCTAATTAAACTATCAATGGTACAGAAAACAAACAAACAAAAAACAAACAAACAAACAAACAAGCAAGCAAGCAGAAAGAATACCATAAATACTGTTACCTATCTCAGATGTTCTCAGAACATTTTTACTGAAGCATTACCTACACTTACCAGAGATGGGGGCACTTGTTTATCCAAGGGTAAAAATACAGCTGACCACATATGAGGCAGTGGGCAGAACCTAACACTGTATTAAGGATGCATTCTCTTTTACCCTCTGCTAGGTATTGTCTTCACCATATGGCGGCCACTCTCCAGGGTTTCAGGGATTGAACCTGGGTCCTTCTACATGCAAAGTGGATGTTCTGCCCCTGAGCTACAGCCCTTGTAGATCATAGAATCACAGAACTGTAGAGTTGGAAGGGACACCCATGGTCATTTAGTCCAACCTCCTGCAGTGCAGGAATTTCAACACACTGTTCCCCATCCAATTTGAAACCAGACCAGACCCTGCTTAGCACTGCAAAAATGCACCAGCAGTTTTAATGCTGCACCACTAAAGGTAAAGGTAAAGGGACCCCTGACCATTAGGTCCAGTCGTGACCGACTCTGGGGTTGCAGCGCTCATCTCGCTTTATTGGCCGAGGGAGCCGGCGTACAGCTTCCGGGTCACGTGGCCAGCATGACTAAGCTGCTTCTGGCGAACCAGAGCAGTGCATGGAAACACCATTTACCTTCCCGCTGAAGCGGTACCTATTTATCTACTTGCACTTTGACGTGCTTTTGAACTGCTAGGTTGACAGGAGCAGGGACCGAGCAACAGGAGCTTATCCCATCACGGGGATTTGAACTGCCGACCTTCTGATCGGCAAGTCCTAGGCTCTGCACCACTAGGAGTGCCAAATTGGGAGAAGGGTCTCAATTACTCGGGAAGGTTATCATGGGTGGCCCTTTGGACTCCTGGGCAACTAAGCCTTACAGGGTTCTTTCTCCCTACTTGTCCATGTGATGCCGGATGACAAATTTGCCTTCTACTCCTCTCAACTGGAAGCCTCTGCGCCTGTTTTCCTGGCATCTTGTATCAAACTTCTCCCTCCAAAGCTGCTTTCAATTAGAGGCATCTAACATTGTCTCTGCCTTTTCAGTGGGTTCTAAATCCAGCCCTGTCCTCCTTCCACCCACACACTGTATGTATGTGTGCGAGGCGGGCGGGCGGGCGTGTGTGTGTGGAGAGCAGGAGACAGAGTGAACGAGGGCAGAGGGAGGCACAGATTATGTTTCCAACCCCAGGGGGATGCCATGAGGTTTCCCTTTGACTCACTTAGCCCAGCATTTGCTAATGATAAGGCAACATGTCAACTCTCTCCACTCCCCCCCCTCCACAAAAAGTAGCTCCTACTCTCTGAGCTTTCTTTCTATCGCCCCACAGGCCCCAGGAATGTGTCCGGGTGGGGTGCGGGTAAAGAGGGAAAGTGATATAGCAGTTGTGCACAACTCATGCTCTTTCCCCCACTGCCCCCTCCCCATACAAAGTGTCCCTGACCTGCGTAGAGCCAATTCCAATGCAATGCGACTTCATGCCTGGGGTGGGGGAGGCGAGGGTGGGGTGACAATATGTACACGTCTCAAAATGCTAACAGCAGACCATACAGCTGATGCACATCTTGCAGGAAATAAATACACAAATAAATAAATAAGCAGGCAAGCTCCCATTCTAGCCTGCAACATGTCTGTTCTGCAAGCACAGCCAGTCTGCCCATGAGGTGAGATGAAGCAGCTACCTAAGGCTGCAGAGGTGCCCAAGGCGGCACCCACCACTTCTGCCGCTGGAGAAATGCCCCCCTTTCTTCAAGTTCTGTGAGACGGAGGCATTCCAGTGCAGAGTGTTGCTGCTTGTCTTCTCCACCCCTGTGGAAGACTTAGGAATGGGCAGATCTGTCAATTCTAATTTCTTCTTTCTCTCTTTTCTTTTCTTTTTTGCAATCATATATTCCGGTCTCCGCATTACTGCAGCCAAAAAAATTAGAGAAATAAAAAATCCTGAAGATTACCAGCACTTTGAGTGCACATTTCTCTTAACAAATGCATTTTTGTTTGCTGCGTTGACGAAGATACCCAATTTTGCAAAGCATTATCCTTAATACAATGCATAGGAGCCAACTCGTAGGGGCCATGGGGGCTTCAGCCCCCACAACAAAATATTTGAGGGAGCCAAGTCCCCACAAAGTTAAGGGGTATTTCCATTCAAATGGTTTGGATTCACTGTGTCGTGTGATCAATTACCCGGACCCCCACAATATTTTATTCAAGTTGGCACCCCTGATACAATGCATTTCTGCATGTTAATTTCATCTAGTCCAGCTCCATGCAATGCAGGAATAACTGCTGAAGAATTCCTGGCAGATGACCATCCAACCTCTGCTTAAATGCCTCCAATGAATAAGAGTCTACCACCTTCTGAGGTTCTTTCCCTCAGAAAGTTCTTCCTGATGTTTAGTTGGAATCTCCTTTCCATTTGAATTGATTGGTTCCATCTACCCTCACAAAACAAGCTTGCTCTACCTTCCATGTGACAGCCCTTCAGATATCTGAAGGCTATCACATCTCCTCTGTCATCTCTTTTCATTTCTATGCACACTTTCCACTGATATATGCATTATTGTTCACATTTCTTGGTTGGAGCACTGCAAAATTCAGAGAAGTGTGAATTCAGAAGGCTGGCTACCTTTTTGTTTGTTTATTGGTTTGATAACTGTGAATTAGCTGTGGTGTCATTTTTATGAAAGTGCAAGCAGCACTGCATTTCTTGCTGATATCTAATGTGACTAACTTCATGTGCAGCGGGACCATGTGTGACCATGCACATGAAATCCCATGGAGGTGCTCTGGTGATACCATGCATGCTTGCCCACCAACTAAGAGTTCCAAGGGAACAGCTTTGGCTCAGTGGCACAGCGCCTGCTTTGCATGCAGAAGGTCCCAAGTTCAATCCCCAGCATTTCTAGGTAGGGCTAAGAAAGATTCTCTGCCTGAAACCCTGGAGAGCTGCTGCCAGTCAGTGTAGATAATACTGAGTTGGATAGACCAATGGTCTGAGTCATTCTAAGATAGCATTCTATGTTCCTATATGTATAGGACAGCACTGTTAACTGCTAGAGACTGGACATCTCTGTGAAAGTCACATCAACTATTTAGCAAGGCATCTCCCAAAGGCATAAGTTTTTTGGGAGCTTTGTGCTGCTTTTAAGTTACTGCTGTTCCTGCCAACAGCTTTCCTGTTGTTCTTTTCCATTGTGGTGTTTTAATGTCTGCAATCTAATTAGTTTTTATTGTGAATTGAAATCATTGTAAGCTACCCTTGGAATTTATTGAAGTGGGATGGGTGTATGTCCCTGAAATAAACAAACGGCTGAAGATAAACTGGAAGCAGAGATTTACCAAGGACAGGGAGTAGAAAATAGGGGCTGCCCATAGTAAATAAGGCTACCTGATAAATAAAGACAGGGAGAAATATAATTTCCATTCAAAGGCAACCCTACTTAATTCACAGTTTCATAGGAAATTGCTTTGGGGGGCGGAAGTGTACATTAGAATAAATTCAGGCTAAAATGTTGGTGAGGACATTTTTTAAAAAAGAATTAGCAAACTGATGTGCAAATGTTGAGAATTTAATACTGGGAGATTGAGAAACTGAGAGAAACTGAAATTGAAACTGAACCATATCCCTAAACTACCCCTAACCGGATCATGTGAATTTTAAGCTGGCTTCAACTGAGAACATTCTGGATGTCCTTCAAGTGTGCAGCTCAATCTGTCAACCAACTTGACAAACAATCCTTGCCAAGCCATCCCAAATGGGGAGTGAGCAAGTCTCTTAGCTCAAGCAATTTAAAGGGATGGGGAATAAATACAAGCCTCATTGTGATTGCTAACTTTTGGGGGAAAGCATTTGCCTCCCATGCTAGTAAGAAAACAAACAAATAAAAACCCCAATTATTGATCCACACAGACACTGAGCGCTTCCAGTCTGTTGCTATTTTCAGGTGAGATTCAATCAAATGCCAGCAAATTCAATTCACAGAATGAAAGCTGATTTGTCATTCTGGTGCATCTAATCTGCTCCCCTCCCCCTCCACCCATTTCGGACTTTTTGCAGTAAGAAAAGTGATAAGGAAATGTAATGGATCACAGTTGCTTGATGGAACCTCAGATGACCTCCCTACAAACAATCACAATGAAAGTGCAATAAACAGCCAGTCTTGTCTGACCTCCCTACAAAGTCTGTATAAATAAATCAGGATGAATGCTCAATAAGCAGGTCAGCTGGAGGCGACTGCTGTGGCTCAGCCAAAAGGAGACTTTTCCACATTGAACCAATGGGCTAATTTTATATGGAGTTCCACTCCTCCTTTGTCCAGGAGCAACCACGTAGACTTCAATTTCACCAGTGTAATCCTATGCATGATTACTCAGAAGCGGATCCCTGTGTATTCAACAGGGCTTAGTCCCAGGATACAGCCTAAAGAAGTTGATTTGGTGCAAAGATTTGGAAACCCTCCTGCCTCCTGCGCAGTATTATGAACAAGGTCATCCTGTTCAGCTACTGAGCCAATTCTCTGAGCCAACACGTTCTCTTTGACTCTGGTCCTGAGGATGACATCAGCAGCTCACAAGCAAATGTGCAATCAAATGCAGCTTGCCAAACAAAGGGTGACCCATGGGAAGTTACTTTTTTTTTAGGAGTCAACTCTGCCACTGTACAATCTATGAGCAGATTGTCACTTGCCCTGTGCCTTTACTATATTCCGTGTGTTCACTGGGCCCTGCATTCTGTTCATCTTGATTTCTGGCTTTCTAATAATGAGTCCCAGCATTGGAGATTGCACCAGTTTGCTGCAGATTTCAATTCATTTGAATCTTAATTCTTGTCCCTGCACATGCAGATTTGGCATAAACATGGTAGAACATATTAGCAACTGTTGGAAACAAGTTATTGGACTAGATCAAGGATGGGAAAACTGGGACCCTCCATATGTTGCTGGACTAGAACTCCCCTCATCCTTGACCATTAGCCATGCTGACTGAGGCTGATGGGAATTTGTGTCCAACAGCAAGCAGAGGGCCATACCTTTCAGCTATGCAGGACCAGACTCTGACAAATGCACTATGCATGACACAGCAATTAAGGATAGTGATTAAGGGCTCTCCAACTTCCACCAAACCCAGCCAGCATGGCCTGGGGATGATGGGAGGTGGAGCTAGGGATGGCAGAGAATTCAATTAGGAACAGGAGTGGCAATTTCCACAATCTGCTTGTTCATCTGAGGTCAGAAACAGAAATCATGTAAACAAATATTTGCTATTGATTTTCTTTTTAGCCCACAAATATCACACAAATAATTACCTTATTTTCTGTGCTGTTCATGACATTTCCCTTCTGCTGGAAATTAATTGCATAATTAATTACATTAATTTATGTAATATTGGACAGCAAGGTTTCAGAAGCTAACAGGAATAGAATGGAAACAGTGCTGGTTGCAATTAACACAGGATGGCAAGGAAACTACTGCTTCCCTACATGTTCCTCACTGCTGCTATACCGACCAAGTCAATGATGGTGAATCTGTGGCTTTCCAGTTGTTGTTGGACTCCAAGTCCCATAAGCTTCAGCCAACATGGAGAACAAGTCAGGGATGATGGGAGTGGCAATCCAACAATTTCTGGAGGGTTGCTGTGTCTCTATCCCTTTAACAGTTTGGTTTGATCCAACAAGGCTTATTTTATGTTCCTGTTTTCTAAATCCACTGCAGAGGCCCAAATGGTACTTGGGGAACCGTAAGGCTTGACAAAGATACGCAGGTCAAACAGAAAGTACAAGCTTGCCCAGTACATGAGGACATTTTGCAATCAGTTGCTATATTTAACATTGGATGTCACAAGGCCACTGTTTATTTAAGCCTGGTACTTTGGAAGGCAAATCTGTTGTGCTCAAAAGAAGTTGTGTCATCTGTTCCTTTTTCCTGCTTGAGATTGCCCTAGTGGGGACCATTCTTGTGAATGAAGTGTAAATAATGGCTTTCTTCCACTTGGACAAGCGAGCAGGATCAAGTTTCCATGTACATCCACAAGCTGGCGGATGCCAGCTGAATTGCACACAGCTCCTTGGCAAACAGGGTGAAGTTCTGGAGAAGGAACATCCAACCCTTTGGTCCATTGAGGCAAGGACAGGATGCTTGTGCTCCAACAAAATAAAATGATGTGCTAGATCTCAGTAGCAGAGAATAACAGAGAAAGGAGTTTGAGAGAAGCAAATCACAGTGGCAAATTCCACCTCTCATGGAAGTGAGTGGATTTAAATCAGAGATGGGGAACCTGTGGCCCTTTGGGTGTTTCTGGAATTTACCAGCCTGAGGGAGGGCAATCTTGAAACAGCCTGATGCGGACTGGGCATGTTCAATGGCCATGGAATACTCATAAACAAAGGGTTGGGAACCTCCAGATGTTGCTGTACTTCAGCTCCCTTCAGCCCCAGCCAGCATGGCCTATGGTTGTTGTGAGGATGAAACTGGGGCGGGGTAGATATGTGCATGCTACCTTGAGCTCTCTGATGGAAAAGTGGAATATAAATGTAATAATAAAAATAACAATGTAGTATTTCACAATGGCATAGGTAAATGCAGGCGATACAGTCTGGACACCATCAAACAGGTGGTTATAGCAGTAGCAAAACTGCCATGCCCATAGGGGAGAAAAACATAGTTCACAGCTGAACCCTCCAGTAACATCTGCATGGGGGGAAAGGGGTGTCTGACCAAGAGTGGAAGCATAGGCAGAATACTGACTGAGTGGATTAATGATGGTTGCAAAAGTCCTGCCAGGAAAGCAGCAGTATCTCATTTATGGAAGCTGGATTCAACCACTCTCAACTGAGCCAGGTCCATAATGAAATGCTCTGTTAGCAGGCAACAGTAGATGGAGAGAAAACCTCAATTTTCCACCTCCCTGTCCTAGGACCATGGTTGTGACGGATTTCCTATACTCTGATGGTTGCCAGTTTTGGCAATGCTGAAATCAAGCCCCATATCCACCCATCTGTCTACCCCATCCTCCCTCCAAAACTTATTGCTGACCTTCCTGTGCCTTCTGGATCCGTGTTAAGACCCCCCCCCCCCAATATTTTCACTGGAGATTCCTGGGCAAGAGGCGTCGGCTGTTGTAAACAGCTGCACAAGCAGCAAATACCAGCTCTGACCACACTTTCTCATTCAAGAAAGGTCAAGAGAACAATTTTTCACTTCAAACAGAGCTGTGTGTCGAAAGAACAGAACTTTCTCATACCCGGTGAGTAATGCCTGAGGAAACCAACAACCATTTTTAATGCGTCCAGTATGGTTAATACCCAAATAAAATGCACTGCATAAACTAGAGAGCGAGTTTGACATTCTCTTGTGAAGTGGATTAGATGATAAGTGGATGGGAGGATACTGACTTCCCCTCCTTCTCTGCTCTTATGGATAGTGTGATGAGTTGGAAAAGAGTGGAGATGAGTGTTAGAAGGTTCAAGACAGATATAGAAAGTATGTCTTCATGCAGTGCACAGTGAAACTATGAAACTCACTGCCACAGGAGACTGGTGGCCACCAAAGTTGATGCCAGTTGCTGGAAACCACAGGAGGGGAGAGTACTCTTGTGCTCCAAATCCTTCTTGTGGGTTTTCTACTGAGGCATCTGATTGGCCACTCTGAGGACAGGATGCTGGACTAGACGAGCCATTGGCCTGATCAAGCAGGCTCCTCTTATGTTCTTAGAGTACTACTTTAACAATATATGGATGCCCTGTCCCACCAACCTTAATCTGTCCTCAACCAGCTCCTGCCTACCTGCCTTCTTACTTGCAAGCAGTCCAGGGGGTGGCATTGCCTGGCAGCTTCTTCATCCTCAGTCTTAAATGTTGCCCTTGCAGAACTCAGCAGGGGGAAGAAGGATGGGGGGAAAGCTAGAATG